CGGTCGGTACCCTTCTATCAGGAGAGCGTGTATTCCGCCGACTCTCCAGAAGATCAAGAAGGGTCGAAAGGCATCGAACGTTGGATGCGTTGTCCAACTCCACCGATATCAGTGAAGCTTGTCGACGACGTGTTTGATCGAAAGGCAAAAGTATCTAAAGGAGAACGTGCAGAGAGGGTCCAAGAAAAGCTCGCTGAAATCGAGAGCGTTATAAACTCTAGGTCATAGCGAAGAGAAAATATGCCCGATACGCTGAACGTACCGGCCAGGAGGCAGAGGACATGTGGGAGCGGGGGCCCCCTATGCGATTCCCTTCTCCCCGGTACAGAGGCGACAGCAGCTCCTTTGGCGGATATAATCAGCCTGTTTAACTCCAAAGTCGGCGAACTGACGGACGACGAAGAACACAAGGAGTATCTAGCTTGCCCTTTCTGGAAGCACAATCCCACCCGATACCTTCGTGTTAAGAACTCATGTACGGCTGGTGTTGGTTTTAAGAATATTGGGAAGTTAACGTGAGTACCTAGCTATTCGTTCCTGTTCTGATTATTTAAGGATATGCTTATGCTGAGAAATTCCCCAGGGAGCATATCAAGAGAGTACACTGTCTATGGAATGGCTGCGAAAAGTGTCTCATGAGGTTTAACAAAACGAAAAAGGAGGAAGTTGGTGAAATAAAACGGAAGCATATGGTCAATTGCACACAGCCTGCCAAAATTTTGACAGAATTAGATGCAGAATGGATGGACAAGGATCAAGATGAGGCATATGGACAGCTCAATTTCCAAAAGGATAAAGGGATCCCTTCTCGATGCTACGAGAAAATATGTTGTGCGTTATGGGGACCTGACCCAAAGATTGAGATCCCAGAGCCCTGTAAGTAAAACAACATGCTGGATTTCTTTCTACCTCTTCACCATGCTGATCAGGCCTAGACCACCTACCCGGTTTTCAGATGTCGGTCCTTCGTTGGCAGTTTGAAAAGGGGCTGGAGTCACTATATGAACAGAAGAAAGCTGAAAAGCCGCATCCTGACGCAAGACAAAATGCAAATGCTGCTGTGGCTGCGGCTACAGCTACAGCTACACTCTCTCCTAGTATTCGGAACGTCGATCCAATGCTCCTCTCGACACATACTTTAAACAACCTACCAAGCGCCCCCCCTCCATTTTTCAGAGGTCAACACAAAAAAGATTCAGGTGTATGGTCGGGGGGTCCTAGTGAGAACTATGCAACCTTTGCCAAACCCCTATTCCCTGATTTTACTTACGACAACGAATTGGACGAGGAGAATCCAGTGCAAGCACAGAATCAACCAGACTACTTCTGCACAACTGGGTCCTGGGTCGGCCTAACAGAGCCATATGCAATCCCAGATGGTCAGTTTGATAGGGATGCTGATGGGGATGTCTCTTTGGAAAATAATTGGTAAATATTGTCCGAGTAGCGCTATAGGAATAACGATATTGGAGATTACCTAGTTTTCTTAACATTTTGCTATCGTTATTTCAATATTTCTTGACTATCTGTCTATATTTATTCAGTTTAGCTTGCTCATGCACTACATTTTAATAAGACGGTATGATAGATAAATAGGTTACCTTAGATGTATTATCTACATGTAGTGCCTCTCACTCCTCCGTTGGCATCAATCTGCACGATCTAGGTAGGATAGGGGTATGTTTAAAAGTAGACGAAATCACACATGAGATGCACGGCACTCTCTATTTAAATCCTAGTCGAAATTCTTCCCATTAGGTAACATTCTTAATCCTAGAGGAGATATAATAAAATTTTGATTATTTAGAAGTTGTCGTAGTTAATAATGTAGTCTCCACCATGAGGCGCAAAACATAAGTGGGAAAATTGTATGCGGAATTTGATAGTGGGATAAAAAAGGAAGACACTTGTAAAACGTAAAGAAAAACAAAAAAGAATGATGAGAGTGGGACTTGAACCCACGCGGATTTCTCCATGAGGAAATGATATTAAGGTGACCTTAACCTCACGCCATAACCAACTCGGCCATCTCACCGTGACAGAATTTTGCGTTATTTTATATTATATCGCTATGTACCGCAGCTTTGTTACCCCGCACTAAAGTAAATATTTGCATGGCATTAACCTACACGTAAACTTCTAACCTTAGCGGCTACATGCTTTAGCCTCCCCGAGCATTACGAAATGCCAAGGGAATATATCTCTCAGAGCGGCACGAATGTACTGTATTCTATGGTAGTACTTGTTGCTGCTTGTCGGGGACCAACACAGGAAACAGGAAACAGGAAATAGGCCCAACGCTATGACCCAAAACGCCATTCTTTCTTCTGTCTCGCATTCAGCAGGACTTTGCTGACAGCGACCTCTCCGACGCGTTAGAGATCACACTAGCCGAGCTGCACGCTGCTATAGAGAAGGCCAACACTCGCCGTCCTATCAGGCCACGATATGCGCCTCAATACCAGCGCAATATCGTCGAGGGCTAGCGATGATGGAAGAAGTTCTGTCTCTGGATGAATTATCTAGGGGATTGGCGGGATAAGCTCAAGGTCTTGACTTACCACAATCGGAGCATTATCGAGAGCTTTATGCGGGTTTGTGTCAAAAGACGAAGCGCCAAGCTTAGATGCAAGTCTTCGCTTGAGAGGTATCTCCTCCAGACGTGGGCAGTCTACAAGAAGTACACTAACCTTACAGCCGACCCCCGGCTACGGACACACGCGCTCGATGTTGTTCCGTACATCCTTAAGCACGTACGCCGGTTGAGGACGGCGCCGAAGCTGAAGAACTACGTCGGTCTCAATGTACACCTCAACCTCTCCTAACATCAACTTCAGTAAACAGTACCTTGGGCCACTCGCCACACCCGTCATCAAAACCCCATGTACATTCATACCCACACCTACATCCATCGCTGCCACTAAGCCGGCTCGTAGCCCGTTTGTGATTCTGCCGAGTGCTCCTGCACCGGTCAAACTCCAGCCTCCAAGTCCGAGGATCGTTATCAAGCATCCCTCTAGCCCAAGAAAGGCTGCACCGTGTTCCAAGGAATGGCAAAACCCCGACCCCCATATCTTCTACAGACGCACATTCACCCGAACAACCATGATATAGAAGCGCGTGAAAAAATTCATTTTAAAATAAGAGGAAACCGCCCGTTGTCATAGCTAATGCAAAAGTATAAGAATAAAAAGGTAACTAAACAACAATTCTACTTTCCGCGCCCATACGTTTCACAAGCACCGTGTACGCCTGAAGCCCGTATTCTGATTCAGGATGGGCGAGGCGGTAAACAACGCTTTGCCGTCACTAATTAGGGTTATTTGAAGACGATATGTACGTAATGGACCATATCATATAGCAATGCAACCCAACTCCACACAATCACTGTCGTTCCCATTCCTGCGAAATAGACCAAGTTACACAATGTAATAGCGGCGGGGCATCAACGGTTTGATGGTAGCACGGTTTGAACTAAGGTCTTATTTCACCGTGCCCGTTGTTTGACCGTTGAACAATGGGCTTTCATGCTCCTGTCGCTGCGCTGTCATCTCGTAGCAACTAGAGGCTTAGGGATTGGCCTGAAAGTCACCTAGCCCTGTAACATCTAAACCAGCAGCGCGCAATTAAACATCCTGGCCTCATAGGAAGCACTGAATTCGACGATGTGGATGTATAAGGATTTGGTAACAACAGGAATATAATTCAGGTGTTCCTAGATCGAGAGCCAGTATGTTCGTCCTTCCCGCTACCTAGTAGATGACGACGTCGCTGATCGCAGTACCGTGTCCCTGATTGCTATTTACTAGCCATTGCCGTGGTTAGGAATGGCGTGACCTTGGACTTGTATCTTAACGGGATTCTTCTTCCGTGTGTTGTCACACCTACATCCCCAATGACCTCGCTGGCCCTGAAAATATCACGACTCTTATGATTCTTCCAAGACCTCGGCACCCGATAGACTATTCTCAGCCCACTCTGACTCAGCTATCCATTCATAATGAAGTAAATGGCTTTAATAACTCTATGACTACTCTGCGAATGGGAATTCAGTTCTACTCACCGCTGCGAGCTACTTTACAACTCCGACACGAAGCGAGCTGTGTGTCAGCTGTGATGGTTCACAACACTCAGCAGTAAACCTTCCATTTTGTGGACATGAGAGATAGTGTAAATTAACATTACGAATTGGTTTTTGTAGCTGATAAAACACAGACCCGCAAAATCGACAGGTCACACTGCTTTTCTTCTCCGGTTCAAGTTTTCGACATCTTAACGACGACACATTCGAATGATACCGAAACTTGAATATCGTCCGGTTTCCCATCTACTCAGGCACTTATGTTGCTACATGGTTACAAGTTCACAGATCTAGAATTCTCAGTTCATGGTTGTTTCTCGTTAAAGTTCACGTACTAGCCGCCGCCCGCTATTCCTCCTGTCAACCAAGGGCAAGGGCAAGAGCGACAAGCGTTTCCGGATGAGGACATCAGCGCATAAACTTCACGTCTTTCAAAGACCTACAGTCACGATATTGAAAGCTTGCATGAGTGGCGTCGCGGGCCGCAAGACTTGGCTCCCATGTCTCAGCCAAACTCGTGTACGAGGCCTCTGTCAGGACGTTCTGTCCAAGACGATGACAGCATCGTCGCTTTGCATCTCGCAGCTCAGCTGCTGACAGGACAGCATAGACGACAATCTTCTACAGTCTCGCTTCAAGCATGATTCAGCCGGTGAACCCCTCAGGAGTAATGGGATCGCGATCGAATAGGCACTTTCGAACCGCTCAGCAACCATCCCCACTATGTTCTCTTGCGAATTTCAACGTTGTCAGTTTGATAAGATCAAGCCAGGAAGACTTCGAGTGAAAGTATAAAAGACCATCTCTTCTCCCGTCTAATCCAACTTCTGTCCTTCATCCTCACAAGCATCAACTCCTCGACAATTCGATACAAAGCTAAGCACAACCCAACTTCACTTAACTCTTATAAATCATCATCATGCGCTTCTCCATCCCTGTCTTCCTTGCCGCCGCTGGCATCTCCACTGCCTTCGCCTCGCCCGTCGTCAAGGCGCGCGAGGAAATCGGCAGCTTCGACACCTTCACCGACGAGAACTGCTCTGAGGGCGGCGCCGGCATAGATGTTACCAGCGACAATCTCGGGTACACCTACCTTAACCCCGGTATCAAGTCTATCGACAGCCACTTACCTGACAACTGCGCCCGTGAGTAGATTAGTGTTTTGATAAGAAAATTAGCAGTGGCTAACTTGAGGCAGTGATTATCTGGATCGACCACCCCAACCAGCCTCCTTACCTTTCCATCCCCCCAAGCCGCGCCAACCAGTGCATCACGCTTGAGATTGACTCCAGCCGCCTCTTCTGGGTCGCTAGCTGCAACTAGACGGAAACAGTCGTTTCGAAATACACGCATGGGCTCTTGAGTGAAAGCAATGTTCTGATAAGAAGAGCAATGGCCCAGAGGAGATACTAGTCATGAATGATATGGTGGAGGAAACATTATATTGGATATTACGGACGATCCTTACATATGCCAAATATATATAATATAATAAAGCGAGGGGCCCCTTATGCTTATGTCATTCTTTTATACAATCTGTTTATATTATTTCTTCCGAGACTTAGCCGCTCATTCGATTAAGGTGACATGGACGCGCCGCCACGGTAAAATAATGTATCCACAGGTTATCCACTATATATACATATTTCATCCAGTAAATTTAAAGAATTAAGCTGGCAAGCCTACATGGGATACAATACAACCTCCTTTCCTCCTTCATGCCAGTGAGAAGAAAAAAAGAACCCACAAATTTTGTCTAGACGATAGAACCAACTCCCCTGGTCTACATACTCTAACAATCTAAATTCTACATAATCTACTATTCTGGGACGGTAGGTTTCCTAGTATCATCTCGGACATCTTCCAATCTTCGGACCCGACAGCCGTGTGAGCATAAAAGACGCCGAATGGGTCGTATTGCTGCTTAAGTCGATATAGTTTCGGATATTTGCTCCCGAAGAAGGCTTGGGTGAAGTTAGGCTCGATGTAGTCTGCCTCCGACATATATGACCCAGCTCCGGGTGATACATCTCTCCAGCGCTGCATCCAGCCGAAGGTCAGTCTGTCGCTTGCAGCTTTGATATCCGATTCGGTATTGGTAGCATTCCAGAAGGAAGCCATAATAGCATGCATAACAGTATTTCGCCATGCTGGATTTACCGCGTTATCAGGATACCCAGCCTTGGGGGCGGCGGCAATATTGAATGCCACTATGTACGCGCCTTCTTCAACTACGCTCTTGATAGCATCAAAGGTAGCATTCAACTTCGCGGCGTCTTGCCAGTTGGACTTCGGAAATAAGCGACTGGCCTGTCGGATTGCATTACTTCCCCATGGTTCGACGGGGAAACTCGCGAGCCACGCGTCATAAAAGTCATCGTATTCTGTATAAACCGGCTTGACTTCAACGCCTAGGTCTTTGAATTTAGCGAGCAATGGGGCCACTATGACTTCGAGTTGAGACCTAGACATCCCGGGGGCGAACCACGGGCCCATGTCAGAGACATATTGATCGTTTCCGACCTTTGAGATCCGAAAATACTCATAATTTCCAGCATCAGTATACGTGATGAAACCATCAAAGAACGCTCGCAAGGCAGCCCAGAACTGTACAGACGTGACCGTTGGTCCTGTCGCTAGAAGATATGTCATCGTCGTAACTCTGATCTTCGGATGCGCCTTGACGACGACTGATGTAACTATGCCAAAGGTTGACCCCCCACCGCCGCGTAAACCCCAGAATAAGTCGGGATAGCTCGTTTCGCTTGCAGTCACGAACCGACCATCAGCCAGGACCACTTCCATTGAGAGTACCTGATCGGCAGCCATACCGTAGAGGCTGGATAAGGGAGAATGGCCACCACCAAGGAGAAAACCCCCCATGACACCCACAGTCTGTGTAGTGCGATTAGTACTGGCTTAAAACTACTAACTACGGGGCTTGCAAAACTTACGCGACCCTCACCACCAACTATCGTGACATTGTTCTTCCTAGCAGCCTCATACGCTTCGAAAGCCTGGACACCGACACCGAGCTTGAAAGCAGGACCGCTATAGCGTCCTTGCCTATAGTTCTTAAAGAATCGGATGTCTTTCAGGTTGTGGGTCCAGATCGACAGTGCCCCCATTCCAACCGACTTCGCGCTGAAGTCGTGGCCGGTGTTTTTGATCACCAGACGCAGATTAAGATTCCGCGCGAAATTGACTGCAAGCTGGATTTGCGCGACATTGCGGATAGAGACTGAGTAGGTTGGATATCCACCGATCGTGCATCCACTCTTCGAAGGCATAAGTGCTGGTGGCATGCAAGTCGCCCCTTGAAACAGTACAGCATTGACTGATGTAGGATCTTCAGTACTATTTGGTGTCAGTAAAACGTCTGCTCTTGATGCTTAATACATGATCATACTGGTATATGGATGCATTGATCCAGTTATTGGTGATGAAATCGCATTTGGACGTGTTACGATTCCCAAAGGTATCATAGCAAGACGCTGCATAAGGGACAGTCTCGGTTAAACCACCGCCGAGTAGGATATTGAAAAGCCCCCAGGTAGATGGAAAAGGCCAATAGGGGTCGTCTGGATATGTCTTGCACAATCCAGATAAAGACCGCTTAGATAGCTTCTCTGCAAAGTTCGACTCGTTCTGGAAGCTGAATAACGTGACATTGGACAGCTCTAGATCAGTAAGGTTAGCCAAGACGGCATCAGTCAGCTGCAGGGTCTCTCCTTCGAACAGATCCGCAGTTGAATTTGAGATCCCGGCATCGACACTGGCTACGGCTGGAGCAACTGTAGACTCGTTGGCCGCTGGTGAGAGAGTTAGCCATTATATCCCACGCTAGCTGTAGGTTGTATAAACTAACGAACTGTTGAGTTGTCTATGACAATTGTCTGGGAATACACGAAGGGTAGCACGTGAGCCAAGAGAGTAGCCGCGACAGCTTTCCTAAGGTAAGACATCGGCGCTACACGTGCCCAGAGAGCCGGCACGAGCTCAAGTGGTGCAACTTGGAATGAATAAGAGATGCTAAGTATACTGGATTGTTGGCATAGAGCGAGCCCATCATCACCGTATATATTTCATATAGCTTCATGTATCTTACGATATACCTTCGGATCCGGTAGGGATGCCGGCTAGGGCACCGTCGTCCGTCTGCGTGGCCAGGGCATCAAGCATGGATGAACGACGCCGCTCACCAGCGAAGTACTACAGTAGCTGCAGATCCCTTACATGAGGTCCAGACAGCTTAGGAAGACGGGCAAAACTCGACAGCTTTGCCGACGACCCGCAGATGAGTATAATTTGGTAAGAGCCCCAGCCAGGCTACCCAGAGCTGCAGAGCCGAGATTATAAACATTACATCTAAGGGTATCATATTCTCACTTTCGTAGGGAAAGCTGGTATAAGCAAGTTTATGAATGGTTATTGGTTAACGCTGATGATCTAGAAGCAGTCTCAAATAACTTGGATTCCTCCTCGTAGAAAAGTACTAGGCCTGGTAAATATCAGTTGAAGCGGCCGAGTACGCGACCATATTTGCTGGTAAGTATACGATAGAAAATTTCTTTCCCCGTCCCGACAAAGCCGTGAAGAAGAGAGGTTTGAATTCTGCCCGGACCCTTGCAGGGCGGTTGCATTTGCGGGTAGTCTGGATAAAATGGTCGACGAATAAGACAGGGGGTTGCTAAGCCGTTACGAGATGCGATCCCCGATGCAGAGAGTAGGTGACCTTTACCCCAGGTATAACTTCATGAATAATACACTACAAAGACGGGCCGTGTTCTAGATTTGCATGAGCTAAGCTCCTCCTCCGCATTATATCCCTGTGATCTTCGCAACGATAATGCCGTGGTGCCCAGTCTTTCCCCTGCGCTGTAACGCTATAGAAAGTCGAATCTCGGTTGTTCTTCGATAGCTGACCATTAAGAATGTTGATTTTGAATACTGGCATCGGTAATACTACGCATAAGTAACATTCCTGGTCACGAAGGCAAATCGCACCGAATTGAGCGCGTGCCCATGAGGCAATTGCTGTTGGCTTTGTAAACACGGCACATGGATTCATTTTATGCTATTCTTTCGGATGTCCTCTATCATGGCTCGTGACCCTTTTCTATGATCTAACCCGACAGAATCAAAATCCTGTTCGAGTAGTTAGAAATGCTAGAGTATAAATCTTCGCTGCTAGATATAGTGGCCAGTAGCTCGGATAGGCCCGAAGACGCTATCCGTCGCATTGCAGGTCAATACCGTTGAAATCAACGCATATAAGCAATCATGTGTAAAGAATCATATAGTAGTTCATATAAAACATCTTGGCTGCAGAAAGATCCCGTCCGTACTTCACCAATCCTAATAAATGACTGCTTTTAACCAAATAGGGATGTGGTGTAGTGAAGTAAAGAGGCTGAATTCAGAGCTATTGTCGAACAAGGAAACTTTATGGCGTATGCAAGCCCTGCGGAGCTGCCCCTGGATGCGAACTGCATGCTGCGTACCTGTTTGCCCCGAATATGTAGGAATATATTGTTATATAGAGGATGCCGTCTTTGCAGCTCGAACAATGCCACTTAATCTCTGGATGGTTTAACGGATCTGCTGCTAGTTACGCAGCTCGTAAGGCAATGGAGTCTTCTCTATATGAGTTTATATCGGACGTAGTTAGACGACAGTCCGCTGAGGGTATTGGCAAGCCTTCTGGGGCCGTTACCGACGACTATCCCTATTCGCCGCTCCAGCATGGCGGTTTATTCATACTGTTCTTTTTCCCGACCATCGCATTTATTGTCGTAGTACTTAGAGTGTATGGAAGAGTTAGAAGCAGGCAGTTTGGTTGGGGTAAGTTGTCCAATACCAAGTCAAGCATAGAGTTTTATCGAATATATGGTTCTTCTCCTTTATCAGTAGCTGATGACATTTTGCAGACGATGGCCTGGCATGCGTGGCTATGGTAAGATGTGGCTCTTGCTCTTTGATATACCGCGGCTCACATGTATCAAGATGTTCTCGATCGCCGAGACGGGATGTTCCTATATGGGTATGTACTTGGACGGGGATTCGCTTGACTATATGTCATATGGGGTGACGGATATGACTAACCTTTCCCGCGACAGCCATGCGAACGGCATTTCTAGGAGTCCACGTCTACGATATTCCGATGACGGCCGACGTCAGCCTTGGAATGTATTGGAACTATGTGATACAGATTCTTTATAATCCGATACTCGCGCTCGTCAAGTGCTCCGTGTTGATGTTCCTCCTACGAATAGGGGGCCAAAGACGACAAATCAGATATTCGATTCACGCTCTCAATATATTCACCCTTGGATTGATGGTCGCAATCTTCGTGACTGCAGTCTTCCAGTGCTCTCCGATCTCATATTTCTGGGAACGTATTACCGATCCAATGATGTCAGGAAAATGCATCGATACTGGGATATTCTATGTGACGACTGCGGCATTGACGATATTCACTGATGTACTCGTTCTGGCTCTCCCCTTTTGGATATTCATGGGGTTGAAAATGGCGCCCAAAATCAAGTTCGCCATAATGGTCGTGTTCTTACTAGGAGCCGTGTAAGTCCTTATACTTACAATTGGGTGAACTGGAAACCAGGAAACTGACAACTTTCTTAGCGTTACTGTGGTTAGTATTCTTAGAATGCTGTGGATCATCGAAACTTCGCTCTACCCGATGAAATACGACTACTCGTACGATATTCGGTTTACATATTCAGCCGTCGAAACAAATATAGCGATAATCACAGCATCGGGACCAGCACTACGGCCTCTAGTTATGGTTTGGTTCCCCCGGTTCTTCTCTTCTCTCCGTGGAACTTCGAACCAGAACTACCGTTACCGAGACGGACCTTACGCATTAAATGATACGGGAAATGCCAACAAATCTAGCGGAAACGGCAATGGTTCTAAAGGAGATCATCTCTATGGCACATCGTCCTTTGCTCTAAGAGACATGAAGAGGCGAACAGAAATACGGAGTCATTCACCAACAACCAGTGAGGAAGAGATCATGACGTACAATGGCATCGTACGGACAACAGAGGTTGATATCCAGTTTGTTACACGGCCGCAGACAGCTCATCAAACACAATGACGAAAGTCCTACCTATTGAGAAGTAATGTAATATTGAAAAGGGGGATATGTAAATATGGGATAGGGCAAGGTCTGGCTTACGTTAACGTAAATAAAATGATGGTCTCGAATACTCGCGGAAAGAGTGCTGATATACGAAGTTATCACAATCTTTGGTAACTCCGAACTTTTTCCATTTTATCAAAGAGTACGGCGTTGGTATGTAGGCAGCTCTTAGCATGAGGTCGAGGTACATAGTAAAGGCAATGGGTAGCATCTACTATATTAATAATATGTAGGAATTTAGGGATATTTATGGAATCTCAAGGTTCTTTAATTCTTTATATATGCTACTATAGTATCGAAGAGAGCTAGTTGAATATTATTCGTCCAAGTATTTGAACTTCGTTTCCTCGATACGATTATGCTTTATATTAGGCATTGACTTAAGCATTCATTAAGCTTGATGTTATTGTCTGCCAAAAGGCCATCTTATAAATAGCATATATAGTTCCCAATATTAGATTGCCCTTCCCGATGAAATATTTCCCGAAAAGGTAAATAGATAGTACTCCTGTATTCCACAGTCATGGTCAATGTAGTTAATGGAGATAAAAGCACGCTGTGGGTTAGTTCAAATGTCCGTGAAGTAACAGGTCATAACCAATAATTTTATGAATGTATCAAGATAGAATCGTAATAAACTACAGGACTTAACAAATTTATCGTACCATCTGTTCTCTTCCATATTATGTTGTCGTTAAAAGAACATATAGTTACAAGGACTTCAGCAGCCCATCATCAGTCTTTGAGAGTCCTTATAGTACTTGTTACTTGAGAAGTAAAATTAATTAATATTTGTAATTATAGCCCTATTATCTCTATCCATATAATAGTCATAAAATATAAAACAAGATCCTAAAAGCTACATTAGTAATACAAAGCTAAGAGGAAGGGATTAGCTTCTGAAATTATATGTACCGTTATTGATAGTATTACTTTAGGTAATTCTCAAAGAAAAAAAATACTTACTAAGGGGTGTCTCAGTCTGATCATCAGGTCAAGCTTGTTTTGAACCTAACGGTTGAACTAACAATATATCTAGTACTACCACCGCTATTTTCTCTGTTATATTACTCGAGGGAATCGATATTTGGGGTGGGTGTACAAATTAAGTATACATAGTTGTGTAAGTCAGCAGCCGCAATTGACCACTAAACTCTCTCGTGCAATCTAGCTTAGTTATACCGTATTAAGATTATATAGATCTCACGAAATCCAGTAATTTGAATCCATCCAAGTACTACGGATCTCCATGATGAGTCCTATCGATGTCAAGGTGAGATGTAGTTGCAATCTAACACCGTATAAATACAGGGTGCGATCAACAGTACATCCAGTCACTACTTGTCACTTAAGCGGCGCCTTAAATGCTACCTTTTATATACAATTTACAAGGTACAGTATATACTGAAATTCCACTTACACTATATACTCCAGAAAAAAGACTAATATTGATTGGTCTCGATATGAACACCTTAGGGGTGGTTTCGATCAAGATATGTAGGCCATACTACTATTACGCGTATTAAGCAACACGAGTATAATTGACCCCATTAGGCAACCACCTTGCTTTACTCAAGTTGAACCCCTGTAGCTTACGGAAGGCAGTCCTAAATCCCGCATTATCATGCGTCGAAGCCACTTAAACACCCCTAGTCTCAATTTCTCTGCCAATGTCCACCTTCATGGCGCATGTTGTATAGAGCATTCCCGAGAGGCATACGAGGCATCGATAACTATGTCGGGATTAGAGATATCGCAAGGTTAAATATAATACCCTCTTCCAAGACTTTAATCGTTACTATCCCGAGGAATAGGTGAATAGGGGCTGTGGGTGGGGTGACCGTCTTGCCACGGCGAATAATGGGAACACTCACGTACGTTTGTAGATGAAAACTTCCGAGTTGCTTTTACTTTTTCGTCTTTGAATTCATCATCAAACGTACTTATGCTGGACAGGATTGCTGCTCGATACGATAGCTAGGGACGAGAGCAGAGCCAGCCCTAGCTCTGGAAGTCT